GTGTATGTGTAGGGGGTTACATTACAGTGATGCTATTGTTTAATTGTCTCTTCTTATCATTAGTGACAACCATGACCTCTGTTATTGGCATATCTGCATTCTGCCTGTACTGCAGAGCCTCCACCACAGCACTACTCACAGCGTTTTCTCCCAAGAGCGCCTGGGCCCATGCCTCATAAATACAAACACAATCTCTCCTACACCTCCTGACTGCAGGACAGGACTCCACACATATCTGCCCGTGGAGCGCAGCCCATTTGCATACATATTAAAGTGACGCCTCAGAAAAAAAGGAAGAGAGAGAAAGAGGGGGAAGTGGATTGGAGGGGAGGGGGGGATAGAGAGCGGGTATATGCAAACAAGGCTTTCATCTAATATGCAAGAACCGGCATTGCTCTGGCATAAATCTGCATCTGAGCTCCGGCAAAGAGAGTCGAGCCCATTTGACAGTAAATGGGCTAGGGATGCTTGTCAGAAGCACAGGGGAACATAGTGTTGCTCCACAGTGAATTGGGCGATCGGTATGGTGTGTCACATATAACTTCTTCCAGAAAGTCAAAATATTCAAAGTCAAAGATTTTGATAAATTGTGGAGAAAAATGTGTGAGTAATACTACCCGGAAACAGTTACACTGTGTTCGTGTCTTGTGCTGCAAAAGTACAGACAGATGTTTAAAACTTTTCAAACCTTTTTGTAGAGGCAAAAGTAGAGCACATGATGGCAGTAAAGCTGAAAAAGTGCACTAGAAAAACTTTACTTACTGGCGCACTGCCATGAGTTCTGGGTTTCCCCTAACTCTGGGACTATTTTATGTTGGACACCCTTGAACTTCCTTTCCTGTTTTCCTGCCTGAGCATGTCGCATTGAGGCACGCCACTCTGTCTGCACAGGTGATCTTACGCACAGGAAATGGAAACTGTGAACGTGTGTGCCTGTGCATGCGCAGCTCGGGGTTTGCGTGCGCATAAAAAAGTGAGGTAGTAGCAAGCTTGAAACAGGATACTCTGGGAATAACACAAAGCACAAAAAGTGTCACATGATCTGAAACACAGGCTTGATTTATTTGGCTTCAGAAAGAATCTGTTGCATGTGGTTTGGAGGAGAGAATGTTTTCCTTCTTTGCTCTCTGAGTGCTCAGACACAACACATGGAAACATTTCGGAGAAGCCATGGGTCTGTGAAAAAAACTACACTTTTTACTTCTTCTCCCCCTTTTCATTCCATTTTGGCTCCACCAACTGATTGAATTACATACATCTGTTCACCATATGTAGAAAGATATTCCTAATAAATAACTGCACTCCAGGTTAAGACATACCCATGTAGACAAGTTTGTTTTGCCAAAAAACTGTTGGCAATGGTGGGCTACCATATTATTGACCGGGATGTATCAATGAATCTGTATTTACAGCCTCAATTTCAGTCAGTGACAAATACACTTCCACTCACATGAGACAGTTGCATGTCTGCTCTATTGTCTGCCATAAATATGCTAGAAGAATAGAAGGGTTGGTTAAATATTGATAACACCAATTTTCTGCCCCCCCCATTGCCCCCTCCCACCTACTCTCCATCACCAACATGCACACAAACACAGAGCAAAGACCGCCTTCCTTCTCTGCTTCTATCTGCTGGTTATTTCACCCTCGCAGTAACCTTGCTTATGCATATTGCATATGTAAATAAAGCACCCCCTCTTCTCTCAAGTAATTGTGTGCATCTTCTCCAGACCTGCATATCTTAGCTCTGTTTAAGAGGAACCATGCACGATGGAAACTCACACGGCTTTGTTTTGCAGTCTTTTTCTACACTATTCATACTGTGTTGTCTTACTGAAAGTTAAGTTATAATAAGTCCTAAAGTTTAAGTTAGAAACAGAAGTGAATCAGAGGTTACTGTTTCTGCATTTTCTTTCAGAATGACACAAGCGATACATTGTGAATGGAAATGAGTAAACTCAATTTTCTTTACATTGAATGCTTACTCTATTTTACTGTTTTAATAAACAGGCCTCAGACATAATAATTTCAACAATTTAGACCCACTTTATTTTAGTAGTATGTCTTATATTAGCTTTAGATGGCCAAATGTAATAATCTTGGTGTACAAATATAGTTTAATGTAGAGATTCTCCATTAATACTGTCCTACAAAAGAAAAGTGCAGTATTTTGTCAGAACTGAGTTAAGGCAAAAACATTTTTTGAAAAAGATTGATGTTAAATTTGCACTAACTACAAATTCTTCAGTGATGCAAAAGAAACTGCATCTCAGAATGTTCTAACTGACAAATTCAGACACAGATACTGCACTTTTCTGTCCTTTCACTGCAGTTACACACAAATTGTAGATCCTGCAAATTTTTTTCTTTTTTTTCTTTTTAGTTTAATTGTGAAATGGGACTTGAAATATGTTTTCTCAGACCACTTAATTTTCTGTACTTTAACTGTACATTCAGAGATCAAAAATAAAATCTGTGGTAACTACTAACTATTTACTTATCATATTGTAACATATCATATGGTAACACTTACTTACTGTAACTGACATACACAGAGAGACAACATCAAAACTTAAAAGTAATTTTTCTCAGTTTCACTCTCAGAGCACATTTCCTTTGTAGGGCAGATATAGCGGTGTAAAATTTCTATTGTCAGGCAATAGATTGGTTTTATACCATATAAATAAAATTATTCAATAAATCTCATTCAGTTAAATAATAATCATTAATAATGCATTAGTCTCTATATATCATTTTTCCAGAAGTTCCAACCTCCACTCCATACTTTTAGATGGTAAGCTTCCCTGGGGTAGACTGACGGAAGTGAGGCTGCTAATCTGCGCCATCAGCTCCTCTGTGCTCTGCTAAGCACTCTACGCTACCACTACTCACAGGCAAGGTGGATGGAGTATCTCAACAACGCCACAAAGTCCAGTTCAAAAATGAACCTTTGATTGTTGAATGAGCACTCTAACTAAATAGCCAGTGAACATTCTAAAATGTTGCTGTACATACATGCCACTAGTGAGGTATAATCTCTGATTGATTTGATAGACCTGAGCAAATGGTACTGGACTCTGAGTGTAACTGACCGAACTGTATGTAAGTTAAATATAATAAACTTCATCTAGGATTTATTCTTGATTACAAAAAATTGGACATGATGTCCCATTTATTTATAATTTGATATTTTGATTCTCAAGATTGGTTTTAATTGATTTAAACCTAAAATGACTCTCTGTGATCTGAACTGTCACTACCTAAGCCACCTGCAGGCAATCATTTCTCAGTGCTAGTGCAGCCTCTGCAGCTCAGCGAGGAATTTCTGAAGGTTTGAGCTCACAGGAGGCACAGCCTGATATACTGAGCATGAGAAAAAAGTTGTACATGTCCTCTATATGTATAGGTTAAAGCAATAAACCCAGGGTCCATTGTGATTGTAGTACCTTGCAAGCATACATCTCCTTTAAGACTTAGTTGAAGAGATAACTTGTTTTAATGTTTCACTGGTCTGTTCTATTTTTTGCTGAAATAGTGTAATTTTATTTTGTTCAAATATGCATGGTTTTCCAGAATGAGTTTATCTGGTAAAACACAGTGACTATCACAATATTGTAATATTGTACATTACTGTGCAGTACTGTCATTTTTAGAATAAATTGAAAAAGCAACAGCAAAATAATTAAATCGTAAAATACCAATCACGATATATTGAATGTTGTTAGGTTGCATCAAGACTTGTCACAAATACTGTACCATAAATTATGTGGAACTGTCTACCATTCATGTCCACATATTACACGGGTCTTTACCACCGCTTGATGGCCACAATAGTGCCTGTCCTCCTGATTCACCTATTTGGCAGGGAATCAGAGTCCTCTCCAGGTGTTCAGTAGATGTCAGCCATCTGTGTGTACACACAAACACATGTGGGCCATGGATGACAGATAATCTCTCTATAAAGAGCTTTTACCTCACCTCCCAGAGCACAGATAGTTTCACTATAGAGAAATAACTCGCACGTGTGTTGTAGGCCTGTCTCTTTTCTTCAAAGGTTCTATATTACACAAAACAAACTCTTGTGAGCATTTAGCCGTGTTATAATGTTACTACCATATCAAAAATATACCTGGAGCGGTGTTTTGTTTCATTCACACAATCCTGGTTTATTAGTCTGTCTGCATCTTGAAAGCTCAAAATGCTCTGTTCCAACTTGTGATGTCATGAAGCGGTAGTTTTCAAGTTAACACCTAATTTCTTATCTTTTGTTCAGTAGAGAATTCCAGTTCTGAAATAATGCTAATGATTCTAATGAAGGTGTGTGGGGTTTAAAACACAGTGAAGCGCTTGCTGTATTACCATATGACATCATGAAGTGGAACAGAGTGTTTTCCATTTGAGAGAAGCACTCAGCCTAAATATGCAGGGTTTGTGTGTTAAACTTGTGTGGATGAAACAAAACACAACTCCAGGTATGTTTTAGATGAGAAAACTGCATATAACATAAGTCAGATTATAGCGTAATATGGGCCCTTTGAAAAAGTGCTTAAGTGTAGCCTAAAATGTTTTTGCATTTTGCTACAAATATTTAATTTAAAATAATTTCCATTTTGTCACTTTCTTGGAGCGTGAGCATGTAGCCATCCCGTAATCTATTATGTTTTTAAGCAAAGTTTATCATATGATATTATACCTAAATAACATAAAACAAATCCGGTTTTGTGCACACAGACATATTCTCAGAATATTGCGCGTCGACTTTGTTGTAGGCTACTTATTTTATTTCGACACTATGACTTATATTCTGTCATTTTTGTTCTCGTATAGAGCTAAGAACACGGTGAAATGCAGCATGCCCGCTCTTACGTGCATTCTCAATGAGGCTAGTAGTGATATTTGCGTATAACAGATGCACCGCCTTCTCCTCATTGGACAATGTGTACGTGAGGGCGTGGTAAGGGAAAGATGAGAGTTGCAAATCCATGCCCTTACTGGGAAGACATGGAGCGCTATGGACACAGTCTGCTCGAATCAAGTAGGAATCTCAACTGAAGATATACATATTTCTTTAAATAGGGAAGAAACCTTCTGTCATACAGAAAAGGGTGGCCCGCCACAGAATGGAGTGTGCTTTTGACGCACAAAACCTGATCTCTATTTCGTTGAGAAAAATACAGAGCTCCAGGACACAGAGAGGAGGCATCAAGCTCCACAAGAACTTACTGGTAACGTACGTACTGAGAAACGCCAGGCAGTTTTATATGAGTAAAAACTTGTCGCAGACACAGAGGACACAGCAGTACGAGGACGTGGCCGCAGTGCGAGAACGGCAAGAATACCTTGAAATTTCCGGGAGCTTTAAGGAGTTGGCTGATGACTTCTACTGCAACTTTACTGGTGTTGAGTCGGGCACTTGGCACTGCGGAGCGCACCAATCCAACGATCAGTCTGCAGAGGTGGCGCACCAAGACGCATCAGCCTGCGTAATGGTTTCACAAAGTGACTCTGACCTCATGGTTGCTGAAGCCTGTTGGAGTTGTGTAGAGAAATCCGCGTGGGAGTTACCTGTCCCAAACACAACCAACCAAAAGACTGTCCTGGATCTGGACACGCATGTGGTGACTACTGTCACCAATGGATACTTCCACTCAGACTGTTGCGCGCAGCCAAAACAGCCGCAGGGCGCGCACTACTACGCAAAGAAGCGAAGGATAGACACAAGTTATTATATTGTTGACCCAGAGTTTTATTTGCCAGATTTGGGGCCAGTACCATTCAAAAGAATGAGGACTGATGAGGACTCGAGTGGAGACTCTGATCAATTGGACTCCTCAAACATTTCCAACCTGATTTCAGTGTTGGGTTCTGGTGGACTCTCTGAGTTTGTGAGTTGGCAGAACACGGACCTTGAGCAAATAATTGCCACTCAAACTATTTGTTTAAAACAGACTTTGTTGACAGGTAGCGGTTGGACGAGAGCAATTGAAGCATTTTGATATGTATATATTATTTTGGTTGTATCATTTATTTTAATGCTTTTAAATAAATAATGACACGTGCAAGCTCTGTCCTCTCTTTCTAATTATTGTTGTTCCAATATTAAACAAAAAATCCATGCACTAAGTATCCTTAACTTACACTTATTGGGTTTATGTTGCGTCTTTTTGCTAGTGATGTGTTTTGATTAGAAAAGACTACTAACTAAAATGCATTAATTCTGTAGACATGAATTGGGGCCGTTTCTTTGGTGCGATGTTGGAAGAGCTCCATCATGTGGCCATTAGAGATTTGTGCAGTTTGCTTGCAGCATACCAGTACAGATGATTTAGTTTTTTGTTTTTTTTCATTGAAACTGCATAATTTATATAACGGGTTGCGTCCAATCATCAATAAAACAGCACGTTGTAATATCATTGATGCACTGACTTTAAAACTGCGAAGCTTTTTTGTGGATTAATCCTCCATTGTAGACACGTGGTTCAGAGGATTATGGGGTGTGCATTTTAAGTATTATATGGTACCAGTAGCCAAGTGTTATGTAAGATTTCGGTTTGGCCTACTTCAGTATCAACATCTTAACATTTCATATCGACATATCAACACAGAATATAACAATTCACCAAGCCTGCAGTTAGTCTAAAATAGCCCAAATATTTGGACATCTGCTTTTCACTTTTAATTCACTTATCTAATGTCTATATTCACTTTTAATTCACTTATCTAATGTCTATATTCACTTTTAATTCACTTATCTAATGTCTATATTCAGAGATTGCGTATATTCACCTCAATGTCTGTGAAATAACGACCTCTCTCAAAATGACCAACTTTAGTTTTAAAACAGATGCGAGGAGCGCGCGTTTCTGTTTATAAGTATGACCGAGGGGGGCGGGTACGGGTGGACAGCTGAGAATAGAGGTGTGCAGCTTGTCCTTGAGACATGACTCCGCGAGCTTTTCTTCTCTGTATTCCCTGGACAGGCAAACATTTTAACGCATCTATGTGACAACATGTTTGGGGTATTTGTCAGAACTGTGGTGAGTGCATTAGGTCTAGAGATCGTTGTATTTGTTACTGCGTAATAGCAAATGTTGTTGACACTGTGCTACATGCGCATCAGGCTTTACGGCAGTACTCTGAGGGGTGGGCGCACCAAGCTAGCTGTAGTAAGACTATATTTTATAGTCATTATGATATGATGTAGATTTTTCCTTTATTTATCTAATACACGGTTCAGTGGTAGCATTTCAGAGTAGAGTGTACTGAAGCTATTTATTTAGTTTGCACTGCGTGTGCAGAGTAGGCTATTCAAGGTGACCATGCTAGTTTGCACCTTTGATCCTTTCTTTATTTGCTACCATAGACATTCGCATGTGGTACCAAATGTTGACTGAGGCACTGTTTAATAGATAATATCTAAGCCAAAATCACTGACTGTATGCCGTAATGCCGTGCATCCAATAAGTTATCACGTTTTATTTTGAAAATCCCGGAAGTGACTCTCAGTTATGACACCAGTGTTGTTTGAGTCACGTACATTATGACTTCTACCTTTATAATAAAAGCTAAATAATGAAATATTGATTAAGGATATGTTGATGTAGGGGCATTCATTTGTCTTTCAGTGTTATTCCAAAGATTCAGCCGTGACAACCTTCTAATTTTAGAATTGCTCAGCATGCACCAAAGTAGCTTAACAAAGTTAGTGTTATTGTCACAGACTAGTAGCATATTTGTGAAAAGGATAAACATAGGTAACTTAAATAGCAATCTTCTTACATTGTACCTATGCAATTAATGACGTGACATGTTTCTAAAACCACCTATATTTTGCAGCTGCGGCCCAGTGTTGTGAAGCCATGCCACCTTGTCAGATCTATCACACAGCTCTCAGAAAGGTCTGCGGCCCATCAGGACAGTTTGCCAAAACTGCCAGTGCCACCTCTAAAACAAACCTGTGAGCGCTACCTAGCCTCTCTGGAGCCAATAGTGAGTGAAGAAGAACTTGAACACACTCACCAACTCATTGATGAACTCCTGAAAGGTGGTGTTGGCGAGCGTCTACAAAAAGGCCTGGAGCGACGGGCTCGTAAAACAGAAAACTGGGTAGATATATGACTTAATTTTACTATTCTACATACAGTTCATTTACTCTCAAGGCATTGTAATGTAATAAGAATCATATTTTCTCCAGCTTTCAGAATGGTGGATGCAGTCAGCTTATCTAGACTGCCGTATGCCAGTGGCAGTTTACACCAGCCCTGGTGTTGTACTGCCCCAGATGCATTTCCAAGATCGGCAAGGACAGATGAGGTAAGAAATAACAGATTTTTACTCATGTCCATGGATGCTGACCTACAGTATATCAGCAGTGGCAGATAGACAGCCTATTAAGTATGAATTAATTATTTCTTCACACTGTGGTAACTTTATGTCTGTTGGTGTATTGATTACTAAGACTGTTGTAAAAAAAGATTTACTTAATGTTGAAGGGCAACATAAACAAGCTCAAATGAACCTGGTGTCAGAGACCAACCTTTACTCAGGGTTCCCCCTCAGTGGCTCAAGCTATTTAAAGCTTTTGGCTGCTCATAGCTAGGTTCAGCTGTTTTTAAATACTGTGACCCAGAGGACATGCAGTGAACACACCCCAGTGGAGAGATGCAGTAGTTCAGTAAATCAAGCACTCTGCTTTTAATAATGATTAAGTACTGATTTGTTGACCTGAGGTGCTAAGAGATACTGGGCTTGTAAGTGTCACTTTTACAGTTATCTGTAAGCACTGATATAAAGTTGTGATTTTTTTATAGAACACTAGCATCTTTTCTGCAGGTTTGCTGCTAAACTTATAGCTGGAGTTCTTGACTTCAAAAAGATGATTGACACGTGAGTTAAACAAAATCTATTATCTTTTCCCTTTTTTATATGATTATAATTAGACAATTCTTAATAAGAATGTATTTATTGTCTTGTAGCAAAACATTGCCCACTGAATATTTAAGTAAAAAACCGCTGTGTATGGACCAGTATTACCAAATCCTGTCGTCCTGTCGGATACCTGGACCAAAGCGAGATACTGTTGTCAACTATGCCAAAGGAAATATCTCCCCTACACATATCACTGTGGTGCACAATTTCCAGGTAGCCAAAGTGGCACTGCTGCTCTTTGGAACTTAATTTGTTCCAAATATGTTGTATGTTACCTCAGAATAATTTTATTGAATTGTACTGACCCAGTTCTGTTCCACAGTTTTTTGTGTTGGATGTGTACAACAGTGATGGCACCCCACTGACAGTGGACCAGATTTATATGCAACTGGAAAAAATCTGGAACTCCTCTTTACAGACTAACAAGGAACCAATTGGTATCCTCACATCACAACACCGCAACACATGGGGAAAAGCCTATAACACTCTTATCAAGGGTATGTTAAAACAATAAACATTTTGAAATTTAATACAAGAAAAGGGTTAACATAACATTTGATATTTTCAGATAAGACAAACAAGGAGTCTGTCCGTGCTATCCAAAAAAGTATCTTTACAGTTTGTTTGGATGCCCCAATGCCGCGAGTGTCGGACGAGCTCTACTTAAGCCGAGTAGCAGCTCAGATGCTGCACGGAGGAGGGGCACGCTGGAACAGTGGCAATCGCTGGTTTGATAAAACATTACAGGTTGGCTTTAAAAAGATTGCTTTAAAAATGCAACTGTAAAAGCAAAAATACTAAATTTGCGTTCATATTATTCTCAGTTTATTGTGGGGGAGGACGGCACATGTGGACTGGTATATGAGCATGCACCTGCAGAAGGGCCGCCTGTTGTTTATCTCATCGATTATGTTGTTAAATACATGTAAGCCTATGTATTACTGATAAAACTGCACAGAATGATGCATTTGTATTTAAGATAAATCCTGTTTCTATTCACCACTGATTTTCATCATCAGGCAGAGGGCTGAATTTATCCGATCTCCAATGATTCCCCTGGCCATGCCACAGAAACTACGTTTTAACATCACATCAGAGGTTAAAAGAGACATTGAGAAAGCCAAACAAAATATGAATATGTGTGTATTGTCTCAATTATGTGTTGTTGGTGTTTTGATGTAATCTAATTGTTTGTTTTACTGTTTGCCAGGATGGTACATGACCTAGATGTAAAGGTGGTTCTTTTTTCCCATTTTGGCAAAAATGTGCCAAAGCAGCACCACCTTAGTCCTGATGGCTTTATTCAAATGGCTTTACAACTGGCCTATTTCAGGTAAGAGCTATAAGATTATACAAAGTCCAGCCTTGCTTCCAATGTTAATTTTTTGCGGTATTTTTGCACTTACAGGATGTACAATATTTGCTGCTCTACTTATGAGAGTGCATCTTTACGAATGTTTAAATACGGCCGAACAGAAGGCGTCCGCGTAACTACTATGGACTCTTTACGGTTTGTTCAGGCCATGGGAGATTCAGCCCAACAGGTACTATTAAAAGCTTTTACAGCAAAACATATAAACCACATGGTCTGTTTGACAACACATTTGACATACAGAACACAGAGAGACGGACACTGCTGCAGAATGCTGTCAAGACTCATAAAGAAAACACGTACAATGTAAGCACAGTTTTTTCATACTGAAGACTTGGGTCATTATACATTATAGAATAAATTACATATATTATCTTATAGGCAATCCATGGGCAAGGTATAGACAGGCATCTCCTTGGAATGAAAATGCAGAGTATTGAAGATCTTACATCAATGCCAGAGTTTTTTATGGACACTTCCTATGCTGTGGCACAGCATTATAATCTATACACCAGTCAGGTAATGTGCAAAGCATATTAATACAATGACAACTTTCCTTGAGAGGAGTGTAAATAATTACATGGTGGCCTATTTGTTTGTTTGAATATTTGTCCTCATCTCTCCCCCTCACCGTCTAGGTTGGCTCTAAGACAGACTGCGTGATGTGCTTTGGTCCGATGGTGCCAGATGGCTATGGAGTGTGTTACAATCCCATGGATGAGCACATCAACATCGCCATCACAGCCTTCAACAGCTGTGAGGACACTAACGCTGCCAAGTTTGCCCGGGCCGTAGAAGAGGCTCTGTTGGACATGAGAGCCCTTCTGGAGGATACAGCTTGAGCCAACAGTGATCCCTCTATAGTCCAGTGCAGTGTTGTCCTCCCCGGCTGGATGGGAGCTGGGATTTACAAGTGCCACAGTTGTGGAGATATGCCTTGTTTTCACATAGAAGTGTGTGGAGTTGTTGAAAATGTATTTAACTGCTTTTAGGATATTATTGTATGCCTGTCAAAACAAATGTGCGGTGTAAATTGTATATTTTAATATATTGTTTAAACTGTATGAAATTATATCAAATCATTTTTTTTTTATTTTATTGTTTTTTCTGCTCTATTTGTCACAATCTGTTATTTATGACAATCAAACACACAGTCATCAGCCTTCAAACTGTATGCAAGCACTATTTCAAAACAATCAAATCTATGAGCTTATGAAAGAATATTCAGCTCTAAAGATCCCTCTGGAACGCAGATAGTCCCCATGAAATTCCACTTCCGCCATGTTTCCAGAAGATTGCCACACAAACAATCTCTGCCCGCTGAACACATGGGTCTTTAGGACATCCATGTCCCTGATCTGAACAGAAGACACAACCCTTCATTTTCTGTTGAATAATGGAATGTATACAATACATGAGAACGAGTATGTACCATTATATATGAAGACTGAGAGTTGGTAGAACTGAATACTAATCCTATGTATTTTGCTTGAATCCTGATTTTTACTGAGGGAGGAGCATTGATTAGAACTCGGCATGTCTGATTGCTGTCCAAGGTGGTGGGATTCTCAAATATTCCAATAGGAGCAAAGAGCTGTATGTCACAAACTGGAGAGGACAGAATTGATTGGCTATTGGTAAGTATCCAACATGAGCATTTCAATCAGATACAGTATGATTAACTAGCAAACTCTTAGCCTGACAAAGCCTAACATCTTACCTTTGTGGTGATTTTTTTTCATATTTTTCTGTGACTTGTATTTGAGAATCACTCCATTTCCCTCAGTTAGTAAATTCTGGCGCACCAAGAGGACATTAGTTCTTGTAGTCAGTGCACTACCGGCTATCTGTTTGCACCTCCTCACAAATGACATGCGATCAAAAAAGGCCACATACTCCCCTATAGAGAAACAAATGATCATGCTACATTTACAGATATAAAATCACTACATATTTTAAGTATTACATGCTCACTTTTACTGCAGTCTAGGGAGCTTGATTCCACTTCAATGTGAATGATTTCATCCAAGGGTCTACCTATTGAGACCATACAACGGCTGGTTGCATTGGTTAAGTCTATTTTCCCGGATTCATCCAACAGTAAACTCCCACATATACCTTTTAATGAAAATGCAATGTAAAAACATGTAACCTTTTTGATAACAGATTAGAAAAGTTAACTTGCTTACTAACTAGATGTGGGTGCTTGTGCAGTTGGAATTATCAAAGGATAAATTGCCTCTGTTGTACGTATATGATCTATGCGATGATGTGGTGATTCTTTGAGGTTCACAGTGGGAGGGGGGAGTGGTCCTTCTGTGTGGTTAGCTGGTATTGAAAGAGTTAATGCAGTGCTTATGGTAGTAGGATTGACAACAGGCGCGGGTGGCTTGTCTAGGCAGCCCACGTTGCAGCCCTGAATAGTTAGAGGCTTGGGCATGTGCATACAAAGCAGAGGGCTGACTGGTTCAGGATTTGTGGGCCCTACACACGACACGGCTCTGGACTGGATCCCATAGCCACAGGTTACAGAACACTAGATGGTAACCAAGCAGCATTGTCACTGTATTTATATTATGCACAGTAATAAATATATGTCGGAGTTGTTTTTATTTTTCTATTTAAGGTTACCTGGGTCCATGGCTTGATTTCCCACCTGAATGAACAGACTCGCATTAGACAGGGCACCGTGGAGGCTGGTTTGACAGCAGCATGGCAAGTATTGTCTGGCACTACACTTTCATTTCCATTAAAAAACTGGACACACAAAACTGTTCTTTGAGCTACACCCAATCCACAAGACACAGAGCAGGCTAGTGTCTGCAAAACCTTCCACCTGGACACATGAAAGAAGCAACCACCAAATAATTTTAATATCCAACTTTATGCTGAAAAAGTATGAATTATGTATTTTACCTAGCTGGGCAGCTGTGGGTATTGCAGGCCACCACTGCTTTTGGTTTTGGAAAGTCTTGGCACTCTGTATCATCCGCAACTACCTCTCCTCTCTCTTTTTCCACAGCACAGTATTGCACTAGGTTGGCTACCCCTCCTCCACATGTTACACTGCAGACTCCTTGCTTAGAGCGCCATCTGGTTGAGAAAATTGGTAAGAGTACAAATGCTTAAGCATGTGTCAATAAATATGTGATGGAAATTAATATCCAAAATTAAATTCTCACATGGGAGGGCATGATGATGTGCTACAGATCTCTGAATAAGGCTGAGGTCTGGTTGAGGCATCACAGTGGAAGTCAGGCACACCCAGTCGGGTTTGGTGGTCCAGACAGGAAAACCACACCTGCAGGGTCCCTATAAAACCATTGGACTTGTATTGGATGTATTTTTACTTTTAGTATTACAAAGTTATTTTACTGCGGAGATTAGCTGTTAATTTTCTCACCATTGCCACAGGTCTTTGAGCACTGGCTGCTCACAGGACTCCACACATACACAGAAGCTGGCCTTGACCGTGGCATGAGACCAAACTTTAACCTTGGCTGGTCCTGCTTAAGGGACAAAACTCTTCACAGTAAATACACACCAAGATCTCTTTATTCCACTTGCTATACCTCAGCCTTAGATTCCCATCCCACTGGGCACACATTTACTACACAGGGAACTATATCATGGGGGCGATTCAGCTGTATGCAGAGGCTGTCATTCACTTTGATATCTCGTCCACCTTCTTCCCAGACACAGAACACATCACGTTTAGCCTCTCCAGGCCCGCACACTGCTGAGCATTTTCCTAGCTCTGAGACATGCCATCTGTAATCAAAAATAAATTGTAAAAACAGGCAGACATCATAGTAAATACAATCCTTGCTATTTTGCCTGATTATACCTGGTAGGGCAATGGTGCATGTTACATTTTTCAACAGCAGGTGGCGCTGTGTCATTCCTACATTCAATAACTGGTAGAGACATAAGTTCATTTCCATGTTCTTGGACACATCTAACAGGGCGGAGCCTCTCTCCTCCACCACACAGTGAACTACAAGGCCCAAACTCCCCTATTTCCCACCTAAAAAAACAACACACATTTATATTCAAACTATAGTATGCTGTGAATACATGTGAGTGTATGGTACTGTTCAACCTGGGAGGACATTGAGGTTGCTGGCAGGTTGTGTAAAGTGGATCAGAGGGCATAGACCTATTACAGTACTTGGGCTTTAACTGTTCTCTGGTGTCTTGATCCACACATAAGTATAAATGTTTCTGGACACCTGCAAACAGAGTAAATAGTATAAATTATTTATCCTATTTTCAGTCGTTCTGTATTTAATAGTACCTTACCTGATCCACAAGAGACTGAGCATGGTGTTATAAACTGAGACCATTTGCCTTTAGGTTGGCTGGTTAATGACGATCTGTTATGAGTTTGTAGATAAAATTTGTAAGTAATGTTTGGGTTTGTTTTTTCCCCATATTCTTTACCATATTTGCGATAAACCTGTATAAAACCAAATGTTAATGTAAAGTAATACATGATACTTTTAAGATTCTTAAATCTTAACTTGTATATGTATCTCTTGTTGCACTGGTCCAGGTAGAAGAAGCTCTTCCATCTCCGGTAAAAGGTCAGGGGTTAAGTGAAGACGATATTCTACATGATTTTCATCCAATGGAGAAGGATGTGTCAAATTCAGAGCCATGTTTCCCTTACCAGATACTATGTACTGACCTCCAACTAACACAGCTGGTGAAATAAAGAACAGAATATAAATGCATTATACATAGTCCAAATGTATCAATACTGGTTGTTGCACCGCATACCCATATGTGTGAAGAGTGGCGCACTGTTTACAATATGAACTTGTGTGGCATTCATAGGAATTGCCAAAAAGGTAATGTACTCTGCAATATAGGAAATAAATATTATCCTTAACAAAATATATATTGATGTTATTTAGATAAGAATTAGCACAACTATTGAATTTCATCATGTGAAATTGATTTAATTTATTGATACTTTTTGCCAGGCCCCCAGTGAAGGAGTCAGAGGTTAAAGTACAGGATGATCCATCTCCGCCACACACTCCACAGTTGTCATTAATTTTCTCAGAGAGCAGGACGCCATCACAGCCAAAGAGCTTCCTCAAGACAAAAACATTTTATTTCAAAACAGCTGCAAACCTACTGGTGCTAATAGTTTAATGTGTTGTATGGTCATATTTACCTGGCAGTTCCCTTTTAGACAAGCTGCCGTGGAGCCAAAGGGAGGTGGGCTGTCGAATTCACAGCGAGTGCCATCTACAAACTGAGAGCCTCGGCTGACTATGAAGTTTTCTCTCTCTGACTGGCACATATGTCTGCACTGATCATTTCCTGTTTAGTGAACCAAGACATACTTGACATACTTATTCACATGTAACGTTCATTGATTGTTAACTTAAATTAATTATTATATATATATTTTTTGCATTAATTAGTATATTTATGTTTTTTTGTTTTTTTTATACTTACCTTTTGCAACGCCAATAGCAGGGGTCCAGGTATAGAAAGATGCAATATTTTGGTACAGATAAAGTGGATGGTGGTCTGTAAGGGAACACTGCTCTGCCATAAAATCCAGCTGTGTGTGCTCACATGGCTACAACATGGTGAGTGGTGAGACAATTTAACATATTTGAAAAAAAAATATATTGTTTAAGATATTGATCTTTAAACATTAATATAATGATTCACTGTTAGAGTAAACCATGCAGATAACGGTGCAGTGGCTTTGCAAACACAACAAGTTCAAACCTACATTTTGATGACAAAGTTCAGCTTGTATTTCCTGGCCTACACAATGATGTCCTCCAAATGCAGGTCTGAAGATTAAAGTTATGAAAGCTAAGAAAGTTTGGCTTTGTCGCATACTGTGACTGGTCTTTGAATCAGTTACTGATCGAAGTTACTCACTTCGGGTTATCGCATTTTCTTGTGCGATGAGTGACTCCTCCACCACATGTCCGTGAGCAGGGGGAGAAATCCGACCAACCGGACCAGGATCCGTGCACCACCACAGAAGAGTCCAGCTCATCAGGTGACACACAGCGGCCCTTCAAACACCACTGTTGGGGAGCACGAATGTTTAATACTGTACATAAGTGCAGGTTAGATTTGTAATAAGATATAAAGCATTACCTGATTAAGACCACATTCGGTTCCATCCAACAATGGGACGAACAAACGCTTGCAGGAGCTATCATTATCAATATGACATGACAAAACTCGACACGGAGGCTGAAAAAAATAAATCTGCTCTAAAATAATAACAAAAAAACAAGTTGATAATAATAATTCTTTGATATGATATGCCACCTGGTGGCATAATGTTGTAATGACATCTTACTAAATCTGGACTTTTGAAAGTGCAGGCTCTGGCAGTTTTACCAAAGGCTATTCTGCATTGCTCATTGACTCCATAGAACAAACCGGGCCTCCAGTCATGCAGAGAGCCTCCCAGAACAGGCAGGTCTTTCACACAGTCAGCCTTTCCCTTACTGGAAACATTAAAGCCAATAAAATACAGTGAAATAGAAATGCTGTGGTGGAAACATTCAGTTTTCATTACACTAATCAAGCATATAATTGACATGAACATGCAGGTTGGTTAATGGCTCCTTGTGAAGCTGTGGTGTGTTGTGCACAGCTGTTGTGAGCAGGTTGAGCCACCTGAAGAATGTGAGCAGCTGCTGTCTGCTGCAAGAGGACCAGGTCAAATCCACACTGTTATGGCCTCCATCTGAGGCCATCATGAATCCACTGCTGCTGCAACTGTTTTCCACACCATCATGATTGATCCCAAAACTGAGTAAAAGAAATAATATAAGCATTATATATGATTATTCAGCATTTTTGTTACTATCTGTAATCTTTATTGTTTGACTCACTTTTACCTGTGACCAATTTCATGAGCAATTGTGATTCCCAGGTCAAAACCAGTGTCCTCCGTAATTACACAGCTCCAGTCTTCAGAGCACACTCCGCCCAGCTGTGTCACCCCTCTGACCTGCTTATTCCCATCAGGTAACACCAGGTCATACCTTTACATAAAAGTGAAAATATTACAGTAATTTACTGTGCAACACATTTGCTATAGCAGTCAGCCATGCACCTCGTGATGTACAGCAGGAGATCAGCGTGGAGAGGGTTTGTATCATTAGGAGGGTGTATTCTTTTCCCCCAGTCACAAACACTTCTAAGCGAAGAGGTGATGTTTGGGGACATTTCGATCTCTGGCTGTATAAAATAGCACACTACAAACTTTGAATGAATACAAAAAACACTGCACATTATATGTTTTCATGTAATGTGCAGTACTACATACCTCTGGCTCTGTCAAAATAATCAGTCTGACTAGGTGCATCCTCATGTTGGCTCCCAAAGTGATGTCTCTCAACAACTCGGAAGCCTTCATTGAAATTGGTTAATTAGCTTGTACAGTAAAATTTCAGCCTGTGATGAGGTACTATATCAAAAATAGACATTTGCTTACTTACAATATTGAGATTGGTAAGGATGTATCTTTCAGTGTCCTGCTGGTGGACATTGTGAACATCTGGTCCAACCACAACCAATAGTTCCAAATGGGTCACATCAGGCATATTTACTGAGCGATACTGTCGTATTTGCGCTGAACAACATAATAATGATCGTATTATCCATAGATTATCCATATTCATATAGGAGAGAAAAATGTGCCATGCATACCAGAGCCCCAAGATGGAGAAACGCTGGAATTCTTTGCAATATCCCACTGGACTGACTGCAACACAACAAGAAAATACAATTAGGTTTATCCATTGAAATAAGATTTTTTATTAAAGTGAAACAAATTTAATACACCCAGTACACATTAATTATTGTAGATATTGTGACTTCCTTGATTTCCCTTCATTTCTGGTTTTGTATGTCATCATTATAGTTGATTATGCCCTGATTCCAATGTATTGTATGTATACAAAATACACACAATATTTGGCTTTAATTAACAGATTTGCAATTTTAAAATAGCACAGCCTGTGTTTCTGACAAGATGATAAAGAGTATAAAGTTGAAGAGTTCAATGTATTTTGCAGAGACCAGAGCTGTGGGATAAGTCACACTGCAGATTTCCACCTACTTTGTACAATGGAGATGTCATTATAGCAGTGGAGCCAGGCCTCAGCAGCAGCAGACAGACCAGGAGCACAAAAAACATACTTCTCCTCTTTCTTCCTGTGTGTACTCTGAACCCACTCTGCTGCTCCAACGAGAACAATATGTGATCCTTCAGCAGGATCACAGCCAGTGTGTGTGGACACGAGTTTTAGGTAAACAGAGGGTGCAAAGTTCATTACATACGTCACAATTTTTTTTTTCTATTTGATTGACTTGTTTTTGTGTGTATACCATTATAACTAATAGCATGCTATTTATACTGCAGTAAGAGAAAACATTCAAACATACTTACAGACTTACTCTTACACAGAGTAATGATATCATGTTCTAATATTGTGTCATTTTAACTTAAAAGGGTAAGGTTACTACTACAACTTCTTTCTACTGCTCATTTTACTTCAATTATATGATGTGTTGCAATAATAATTCTCTGTATGTCATCTCTTTACCGCCAGGGGGCATGAAAACGCCTGTTTTCAAACCGCTGAGCACCGGGAGAGAGCATAAGCAGCCTCAGTCACCACACGCCTCCACAGCAAAGTGTAAGAAAATATCACCCCTTATGTCCATCTATGACACACCAACCTTATCTTATGCTCAGGCGAATATTAATACAGGCAACACTTTAGGCATATTCTATTAGCATTCATATAGCTTATTTAATTTTATCATCTTATTTTATGTATTTCACCACTTCATAAACTAGCAAGTGAGCTATTGTTGCATCAAGTGCATCGTTCATTGCACTCTTAGAAGAATATCCACAAATATCTTTAATCGTATCAGCCTACTTATTAGGGATGTACCAATATCCAAACCCCAAAGCAGTCACATAGTGATTATTTATTTATTTATTTATTCATTCATTAACACCAATATAATCTGCATTACAATAACTATTTTTAAAGGCAATATTACGCAAATTTTATTTTCAGCCTTATAGCAGTGACCCCTCATCATTACTCTACTCAGTTGTATTTATTAATTTGTGTTTAAGTAATCCTGTATTGTCTTGCATTTGAGTCTTGAGTGCTCAGAAAATTATTTTAAAAAGATTAAGACTCCAAGTGATACATGTTAGGTTCCAAAATGTCACATATCCATTTATCAAAACTACAGACATGTACATTTGCTACTTGCTACAGTTAAATGCCACTTTGAGGCCAATTTGTAAGAGAAAATCTTATAGCAATATTTTGGTGTGCAATTAACAAAATGTAAAAAAAAAAAAAAAGATCTACTACTTATGTTATAGTTAAATAGTAAGTACCTGAAAAAAGATGTCTTCTTTAATGACATTATATATAATTGTACATATCAGTCTTTTTAGTAATAGCTCATTTTAGTCCAACCAACTCATTTTTGCTTGTTTTTCTGTTGCCTGCTCCCTGGGGAGAGTATCATTTCAACATCTTTCTGGAGTCCCATCTGGCACAAGTCGGGTGATATCTGCTTGTAGTCATTCTAAATTAACAGCAGGGTGTTAAAGGCATTAGACCACACCCACTGTTGCTCTAAGACTTCACTGGCCCTCAGGATTTCAGAAGCATAACTGAAGACTGTAAGAACTGTCTTTGGCCATGTCATCTCAGGCAAGGGAAGTGATTGCATATTTATGGCGTCTTAAATTATAGATCCTTCGCCATATGGGATTCTCAAGTGGGCAGCCCAGATAAAGCCTCAGGAAAATGTTGTTATTGAAAGGGTAGATTATTTCTCAGAGTTACACTTTAATTCATTTAGTGCAAGGCAACTGTATTTTGTTGTCTAACATTCTCAGTATTGTGGAAGATCTCACATTCTGAAGGGAGATCACAGGTTAGAGCAGTCATTGGTAAAATAATGTGTCAGAAAGGTCAATTGGTATAATGGCAAATCACTGTACACCTCCCCTTAGAGAGAAGACAAGAGAAAAGAAGATGGAACCTTTTGTGGAAACTGTATACATAACAGTACATTTTAATACAAGATTTATTATATATTAGCCTATTTGTCAAATGTTACAACATTTTGGCATATTTATGTAGGCCAGGAAATAGATCATTTTTGGCACTGACCCCACAAGGAAAGCCAAAAAATATGTGTCATTGTCTAGCTACTGTGTCATGTAGGGTTGCTGTTGTTTAAAGCAGCCCTATATATATGTAACATTTCAGATTATGATTACAGATGTTGCTGTTAAGGTGTTATAGGAGTTATTCTAGACTTGTTGCCTTCTTTAAATCCAGGTCACCTTTTTTTTATGACTCAGTGCCATCCACTTTTGTGCAAAGTTGTTTTTCTGGCTATTTTTAAAACCTCCATATATTGATAAATCAGATGACTCAAAGATACAGCACATCAAATGCCTGTACCGAATCTTGTTCAGTTCAGTGTCTATAATTTAAATGGTCATAAACTGAGTAATTTTGAAGTTTCTGTTTTATTGATTTTACTTTATACTGATGTTTTGTAGTGACCCTAGTAGGGTAGCAGTTGTTGCTATCTTGTCCTTAGGTAAGGCAATTCACCCACCTAAATATGTGTGGTTTGTGCATGAATGGTTGGTGGTGATAGGAGGGGCCGAGGGCGCAGACTGACAGTCTACCGCTGGGCAGTTGTGGCTAGAAGTATCTTACAACCATAGAGTGGAGCAAATTAATGATACTATGTAAAATGGCTTATAACCTTGACTGCCATGCTAACTAGAAAAACTGCAGGAAAAATATAGAAAACATTTGATGGCTTTCAACTTTACAGTTGGAATAATGTTGGTTTGAAACCAATTATGCTTATTTAACCATCTGATTCCCTTTGTAATGTCACTGGCCACTATTTCAATAACATTTTCATTATTAAAATACTAGAATAATTTTATTATTGTTGTTTTAACCAGTTTTCAAATGACAGAATCATGGTCATATTTAGCCTATAAAATGCCTCTCTCCAGAGAGTATAACAAGGACTGAACTTATTCACAGGCAAAGCACAGCTTTCTTTACATTTCCAATAATTAATTTCCTTGTTTAACCACAGCTTACCTCTTTGCTCAGCCATAAAGCCTCTTTTCCAGTGGGAATACTGTAACTGCAGCTATCAGGGTGGATAAGAGACCGCAGGGAAGGGCAGTGCATACTAAGCTGACAGCCATAATTCAGAGCCAACTCAAATGAATGAGCTGCAAACTTCAATCGGGTTATAGGACGATAGTGACAGTTGTTAAAAGACAAACATAACTAAACATCTGCTGTGGTCACAGAGGGGACCATAATTTTAATAAGCTGTGGGTCTTCTAGAGGCAAAGAACTGACTGCAGAATTTGCATGCAAGTGTGATGTCTGACAAATATTATAAATGAGAACACATTATGCCCTTGATTTTATAAGTAATCAATACACACGAGATATATTTTAATTCTCTCTCTTTTTCATAAATCATTGCTCTGTCTGGCTCTTAGCTGGAGCAGGCTATATGTCAAATCAATAATTACTGTGATCTAGATAACACATAAGTGAGACTGAGTGAATGTATAGTCTTAATGTATACTGTACTAATCTAGTCAACAGGAACGAGAACCATGTCACGACAAGGCACAGGCGGTGAAACTGGGACGCATGGGGGAATTTACGTGCATTAACCTATACGGCCTCAACACGCGCAATGTTGATTTTTGTTAAATGATAAATCACATAAAACGAGTTCACCGCCAAGCATGTACTTTTGGACCAAATAAAAGCGTGCATGCCGCAGCGTGAGTGCGCGTGGCGGCGGCGCTGAGCCTGAGCGCACCAGCGCACAGGGTCCAGTGTGGCTACGTCACTGTCAGCAGAGCAGCACAGTCGCTGAGCGGAGGAACACAACCACTACTGGGACTGAGCGGACCGCTTCCGCCTCTGCAGTCCAGGTAAAATGCATGTGCTTTTCATTCACTGCTATTAGCCTTTTCATGTTTCATTTGAAGTTAGTTTATATAGAGAATATTCCGTAAATAGCATGTGCGCCCTGGTGGAGCACAATCATAAGTAGCAAGCTTCCTGCATGGTCGCTGTGGACTGTAGTCGTAAACTGTATGTTGCTATGGCACTAGCGGGCAACATCCCACCTGCTGCCACCGCGACATTAAGTCAATATGCTTTTCCAACCACGTAAACTACGTCCACAACCACATAAAATGCATTTGCCATGTTCACTTGCAAAAACGCCCCCTCCTTTATGAACGAAGTTGCGTAAATGCGTTGACAATTGAGTTAAGAGCATTGTGTTCAGTCTGAATGAATGAAGTTATTTAACAAGCCAGTCATTATTACATAGGGTACGTTTATTTACAGAAGTTTGAGTTTAATGACTTGGGCTCTCGCGCCACATTCCATTTTGCCTGCTGGCCACAATGAGCAGCTCAGTAATAGGTCGCTGCCTCTTTTAAGTATTTTTCCAGTTAAGAGCTTTAATTCGTCTGTGGCTCTAGGAGAAAGCACAGTCCATTTCCACTAAAGCATATCACGTGTTTACCTCTTGTTTTGTAAATGCTGTGTGTTTGTTTTCCCCAGTGTCTGAATAATACCTAGGAAAGCAACGCTCCAGAGGACCCAAGATGGTGATTAGCAGCGTGGCACTCATGAGAAGAACATCAGTGTGTGCAGAGAGCAGATGTCTCTACTAAAGGTATCTAGTGTACTTAAGGCTGCTGCTGTGGTTAGTTAGACATGAGTGCGTCAACACCAGGCTCACACCATATAAAGAAACTCCATTAAGTCTCAGACAGGAGGAGATCACCGACCATACCATACTGTTGTGTGGAAGGCCAGAGAGGGGGAGAAGTATGAGTCAGAATGAAGAGAAAAAAAAAGAAAATGTCACTTGTCAAATCCGCCTATAAGCTTGGGAGACAGCTCACATGCTTATTTTAAGAGCAAGGCCATATCTCTTTTTAGCTGCAAACTGGCATGAACCATGTAGCAACCCTACTTGTTTTTACTTATCATGTCATTATAATCAAAGTGCAAATATTTCAAAAATATTGAACACTTCATTTTAAAACACATTGTGGGAATATGCAGATGGTCCATTTGCATAACCAATATATGTATGAAGATAAAAT